AGTACAAACCAAACGAACTACATCGGGGCCTCTGGCCTCTGGCTAGGGTTAGGAGTGGACTTAGTGGACTTAACCCTAGAAGCCCAGGTACCCATATAGTAGGTCCTTGGGTTATAGATAGTATAAGTTTATATAGGGACTTAAGGACAGGAACCCAATATATAAGTAACTGGGCTTCTAGGGTAAATTCTATCCTAGAGGGTCCAGGTATCCAAATAATGGGGTGCCAGGTCTCAAGCACTATACTCTGAATGTTTCGTAGAACATAAAACCCCAACATTTGGGTACTTGGACCCTTGGGGTAAGGTGTTAAAGCTTCAGCGTGAACGACTCACCCCACCCTAACATGAAAAAAGCCCACCCCCTCAACATGCCACCTTCTCATTGTGGAATGGCATAACATATTCAGAATATGTATCATGGTTTAGGGTTTTGTATCCAGGGTTTGGGGTTTAGGGTTTAGGGTGAGGGGGGTGAGGGGTTGTACTATCAAGGAGGTAACTAATCCGTAACCCTAAACCGAACCCTAAACCCCAAACCCTTCCAGCCGTTTCTGCTCTGTAGTCCAAAACATCCACCATGGCTTTTGAGGGTCAATATGGGTTACGAAAGGGCTAAATAGAGGTTACATGAACTTGCTGCTGCTTAAGGGAGTGGGGGAGTGGATCCATAGTAATCCCTATATATATATATATACCCAAGGGTCCAAGGACCCCCAAAATGGGGTTTTAGGGCCCAAATACCATTAATATGCTCGGATTTGGGCCTTAAAACCCTATTACTTTTATCCTTGGACTCTTAGGGATATATATATATATTAAAATATATCATATTATGTTATATTACAGTATATCATATTATATATAGTGCCCATACATATACCGATAGTGGGCGATATTCACTCCCCAGCTCCGCTTAAGCACCATAAACTCTAAATCCCAAGGGTTTAGGGTTTAAGGTTTAGGAAACCCTAACTGAGCCCTAAATCCTAAACCCTAGATCCCAAAGGGTCCATGTAGGTGTATGGTATATACTTAGGGCCCAAAGGGGTTCCCATATACCTACTTTAAGGCCCAAGTAGATCCCATATACCTACCTAGACCCTCTGGGCCCTAGATCCTAAGCCCTAAACCCTTAAACGTTTGCGGTTTGGGCTTTAGGTTTAGAGTTCAGACTTAGGACTTCAGGTTGGGAAGCCTAAGCCCTGACATTTGGTCAGGGCTTAGGGTCTAGGTTTAGGGGTTTAGAGTTTAGGGATTTAGGGTTTACGGTTTAAGGTTTAGTGTTTAGGGATTTAATGATTTCGGCCTTAATGTTTAGGGTCTAGGTTTAGGGTTTGGGGTGTCGGGTGTCGGGCTTAGGGATTTGGGGTTTGGGGCGACAGGTTTACGGCTTAGGAATTTAGTGATTTCGGGATTTAGGGTTTCGGGCTTAGCGTTTTAGTTTTAGGGTTTGGGGTGTCGGGTTCAGGTTTTAGGGGTTAGGGTGTCGGGTTTAGGGTTTAAGGTTCAGGGGTTAGGGTGTCGGGTTTCGGGTTTAAGGTTTTGCGTTCAGGGTCTAGGGCTAACAGTAACCACAAAAAGTAATTGGAACGATACTTGCCCCTTAATAACGCGCCTTTAAGGACAGTTACTGTCGGGGGTAAGGATCCAAACCTGACCCTAAACCCTAAACCCTAAAACCCTAAACCCTAAACCCTGAACCCTAAACTTGAGTCGTGCTTTGCGTGGTTGAACCAGCTAAGATCTGTATGGCGTACTATCCAAAATATTGGATTTGGGAAAAATGCCCTACCCTAAGGCTCCTAGGACTTTTCGAGACTAAACCCTAAACCCTAAACCCCTAAACCCTAGGACTTTTCGAGACTTTCCGGGGCAAGGTTTGTGTGATTCAGGTACTTGGGGGCCTTCTTAAGCTTGAGGGTTGTGAAGCATCCAGGGTTCAGGGTTTAGGGTTTAGGGCTTACATTCTCTGAACAAGCGCCGCTACTTGCCTTAGAAACTTGGCAAACAAATGTATATCCACTCACTAACACTATATCCATGACTATAATAACATGTAGCGTCCCAAGCCCTGAGCAAAGAGCCCTGAGCAAAGAAGCGCTGGCGACGCACCAGCCCAATCTAGGACAATCGGACTACCTTAAACAACCTCAAACCCTAAACCTATCAAACATATGGGTGTTTGTCGAAATTGTGGTCCCTTTTTGGATCCCTATTATAATACGGCACCTAATATTTAGGGTACCTAGAAAGGGACCATAACTTTGACAACCACCCATATGTCACCAGCCCATCCCAAAAGGTCATACACAGTGCTAGTCCCGTTCCCCGCTGTTCCCCTGCCCTGACGAGGCATGGGACAGTAGAGGGTTTAGAGTTTGGGGTTTTTGGTTTGAGGCTTGGAGTTCACAAGTTAGGGGAAGAACAGAAATCTTCTCAAGCTTTCTTGAAGACTCTTTTGCTGTACTCAATGACCCCTTTTACAAGCCGGCGGTCGCTGTTGTCAGGTAGACGTACTAAGTCCAGAGTGGCTGCAAGTTGGATTTATGAGAGAAGAAATACAATGGGGATCCATTCTAAGTATCATCTGTCGATTTAAAGCCACATGGTTTAGGGTTTATGGGTGTAAAAAAGCGCTGGACATCTACGTGTACAAATAACACCTACTTCGGTCTCTAGAACCTACAATAATAGCTACCTGGGGCTACCTGGATGCCTGAGCAAAACGAAAGGAAAGGGCCATTTCATCTTGCCTACAAGATGACGCATCTCAATCGGGCAGTTCTTCCTGAGCAAACACTTGCTCGACTTTCACAGAGCAATCATTCAACCCTAAAACCCCACAACCTATACCCAGTGGGTGGCTGGGACCCCCCACCAAACCTTAAACCCCAAGCCTCCTCCATGGGCATCCCCCGTACAGGGTTCTTGAAATGTACCCTATGAATATCACTCTCGGTTACTGTGGCCCGCCCTTAGAGCAGCAAGAAAAAGGATGTTAGAAATACCTATGAAATAAAGGGAACTTTGCATGACTGCAAATCGATCCTGCACCAACTGAAAGCCCTTAAGCACTAGGAATTACGGTAAGCTACATCGCTCGCACTCGAATTGAGACAATATTGATCGCAAAGTGTGGGATTCTCAGCACTCTAAAATCCTGGAACCCTGGCAGAAATTACCGTTTCCGCTGGTTCTGAGAGTTATAGATCACAGCAAAGGAGAACTGGTTTCAGGTAACATCTGCAACATGCCAAACCTTGCAGGGACTGAGCACACATGGGAGTAATGGGAGATTCTGCAGGCCCCTCTCTACGGATTTTCCAAAGCTAGTTTCTCCTAATCCCAGCTCAACATAATTAAAGCCACCCAGATTTAAAAAAAAAAACACATGTTTTGGGCCATTTGGGGGGCCCAAGATCACTTTAAAAGCAGAGGTCGAAAAAACACTGGATTCAGAGAATTTAGAATCCAGGCCCTACAAACAAGAGAAGGATCTTTCAAAGGGTTTCAGTTAGATTCAGAAGCTCATCTTAAAAGATTTGAGTCAAGGTTTAGGGAGGCTGACTTGTTTGACTGTTCTGATAAATGGGAATGAAAAAGCTGATTCTGAAATCTGAGCCGCTGAGGCTTACTACTAAGGAATTACAAGCTCAATCATTCCTTCCTGAGCTACCCTTACGGAATTTGCGTGAGAGGGTCTCAGGGTCTCTCTTTATCTATGGCGAACAGGGGGGTGTCTCCAGAATAATGGCCACGGATATCATTATGCCCCCCTTATTATTGAAGAACATTATTTGTTCAAGTCATGTGCAAACACTCGCCCGCCCGCCTCCACATGGAGACCTTGCACAGGGTGGGTTTAGGTCAGGGTCAAGGTCCTTTGTTTGTTCCTCATCTTTTGATCAGCCTTAAATATGTGAGATAAAGTCCGAAAGTGCTGCAGTGCTAAAGTTGTACAAGGTTCCCACCAAGTTTCAATAGCTCAGGGTCCGAAATTTTAGTGTCCCATGTTTCACCGTCCAAACTTAACTCAAGCCTATGACAAAAGGCTATGATGCAAAAACAAGCTCCAGAATGCAGCATTCGATACCTTGCTCATTCCCGGTCCCTCAGTTGCGCAGAATCGCATGTGATAAGGTAGTCTATGGGCCTTGGGTTTCGGGTTGTTTCACCTGCGTAGAAATCTGGGGAAACGTCAACCCTTACACCCTAACCACACCAGATACTGCTTGTAAATATTCACCTTGAGGCCAGCTGTATGCTTTCAGCAAGTCGCAAGATGTCCTACAGATGCTGGGTAAGGCTTGGTAGTACTAAGTGAGTGCCTTGAGAAATGGCGATCACATTCTCGCACCCCTGCCTCTCTCCACCTGCCAGTGGTCGCCTCGCAAAGCCTCACTAGATACGGACCACTCGCGGAGATGAGCATTCAACAAGAGGCCTGGCAGAGGCAATGGGAGCTATCGTACGCGCAACGAATGCTGATTACTGGATGAGCGTGAAACGGCAGCTGCTTATCAACACTTAACTTGGCACGGCTGTGTTAAAATTGCGGCTAGTCATAGTCTGTCAATACAAGTGCGTTGCGTGCTTGATTTTGCTTCTCTGCTTGCCCCGCGCAGTAGACGCCTGGTGTCAGTTCGGGCTAACAAGTATCTTTCCAAAGCACGTTCCCTCTCATGAGCATCTCGCAGCTTGGCCAAACGTGAAGCCATCTGAATATGTTCCGCTCCGACCGCTGAACGAAGCCGGGCGACCATGTGCTTGATTTCCCACGCCCGCTGTACTCCTAAAACTGTGAGGCGCTGGTAACGGGCACTATTTCCAGCCAGCGCGTGTAGCTCTGCCCTGATTTCATGGAAGTTCTCAGGGGTTAGCAACAAAGCTGCCCTAGCAGATTCTCGTTTCACCCGCAAACCAGCAGAGAGCAGCTGCCTCAACAAATCTTTACTGGCTTTGGTACGATGCACGTGGAGGTAGAAATTGTGTCGGTATTCACAGACCTTGCAAGGAATGCGATGGGTTGTCAAGAAGTCTTTGACAGCATGCAAGACAGGATCAAATTTCTGCGCTATGCTCAAGCCAATGCAGGCCGGGGCTCTCAAGTGAATGCATCCTTCAGCATCGAAGAAGCCAGCCAAGAAAGCCCAAGATGGACAAGACGACGTCATCGGTGAAAGATGCTTCAGCAACCGCAGGTCCGTTACAGCTTCTAAAGGTGCAGTGCTCTGTGACGGCCACGAGCTCATGATACGCAGCTGAGGTTGCTTGCAAGTTGGCAGCGACCCCAAAACAGTAGCAGCATGCGCAGCACGATCCCCAGTGATTTCCCACTTGAGGAGTGGCTGGCTTACGCCTCTCGCTGCACCACTTGTGTAAATCGCTCCTCCAAAGACATTCCGATAAAACAATAAGACTTTTGCATTGGCAACACTCTGAACGATGGCTAATCGAGCTCCCTTGTTTGAGTAGTCTGCGCAGCCGTCGCCATCGAAAAAGCCTGCTAGGTATTCCACTGCATGTTGCGGCATTTCGCAGCGCAGCTGCGCATTCTGTACTCTCAGTGGCAGAAAGTACATCTTGCCATACGCCTCGAACTGACTACATGTTGGCGCGATAATCCGGCCTTGCAGCTGCCTTACCTTCTCAAACCGTCTCTGCAGCTGCTGCACGCTGAGCTGTCTCAAACAAATCTGCCTCTCCATGCGCGGCTAGGGCGAACAACCAGCCACGCCCACAAGGCGCTTGTGGCTTGCAGCTGCCATTCATACTCAGGACGGTGACCGTTGTAGTACAGAAGGGGTCCAAGGACTTGAACTTTAGGTGCTAAGCGTCGTTGAAAGAAACTACGTACAGTATTCGGGACCAACAAAAAAGCCCCATACCTTGGACCCTTACCACCCCGAATTCCTGACCCTAATCCCAGAATCCTCACCATAAACCCTAAATCCTAATCCCTCAACCCTAAACCCCTCAACCTCGATCCTCGGCGCTACCTGCACCACAAAAGAAAGCAAACATAGGGACCACGACCCATGACAACAAAAAAAAGGCTGTTCTACATATTCTTTGAGGTACAGATAGACCCAAGCCCTCAACCCTACATTTCAATGTGCCCTAAAGTCCAAATAGTCCAAATCTACTTTTTTGAGTCTATGTGCCAAAATCTATTGACCAAAATCTATTGATGGCTACACCCTAAACCGCTACACCCGCTAGGCCGCTTAGATTTACGGACTCCCCGCCTGAGGTCTCTCTTCGTAGCTTTTCTGACCAGCACCAGGAGAGTGTCATGCGGGCGCAGGAGAAACCTTGGTTCAGTCCCACACATGAGCCATAGTCCAAACTTCCAGTATCCCCCTTAATAAGCCCTATGGTAGTCCCCTACATAATCCCCTATATAACCCCCTTTAAGGAGTTTAGACTATGGCTCACATGATACTTGCCGACATCATGCTAATATAGGATGCTGGCCGCACGAAGTTGTCGTCCTAAGATGCACCTTCTAAGCTTACGAAGCCACTGTGGTGATCCATTCTTTAGTGCTCTTTCCAGCACCTAAAACCTGATTAGAAGCCCAAGAGTTTCAATAAACCCCTAAACCCTAAAGCGAATAAACCCTAAACCCATGCAAAGCCTGCAGTCCCTGAACTCTAAGCCCTAAAAGGGGAGGGGTAGAGCCTAATCCTTGGGTGCAGGTCATGGGAATTCCAAACCGCTTGATTACGCCCAATCCCCCGAAACCCTTGAGCCCTGGACCCCAAATAGCTGTAGTCTAAACTTCTTAAAGGGGCTAGATAATAGAGAGCATTATAGGGGTTATTAAGGGGGATACTAGGAGTTTAGACTAAGCTGAAATAGATGAGCGCTGAGGAATCAAACTTTAAAAGCCCTGAGCCGTAGATACATTGTACATCGTACGTAAACCGAGAGATCCTTAACCCAAATCCTCCCAAAACGGCCCAGGAGCAGCTCGAATGCAAGCTGAAAGGGCTGTACATCAGCTTAAGCTGTGAACCAACGCTACCCGGTCGCAAGCGTTGTGGTGAATGGTTGAGGGTTTGGGGCATGAGTATGGGGGAACGAAACATCCTGCATACCTCGGCAAATAAGTTTACCATAATAGTGTCGTGTAATGTGTTCAGTATCAACGGTAGTAACTCAGCAGCAGACTGATTGAAAGTTTTATCCGGGAAGTCCACCGCCCCTGTATGAAACAAAATACATGCTCAATGAGTACTAGAACCTCTGTATCTTATATTAGAATATGTTCCTTCTGAAATGTTTCCCTAAGGGTCCAAGGACCCAAATAATAGAGGGTTTGAGGCCCAAATACTATAATAGTAATGATATTTGGGCCCTAAAACCCTATTATTTGGGTCCTTGGACCGTTGGGTTTTGGGTGGTAGACTGATAACATCTAAAAGGTTGGGTCCCTGCCGTATTGCAACCGGTTAGAAGTTGCCTCGCTAGCAAGCACGTTTGCAAAGGGAACACCTCGGACGTATTGTAGATCCTTACTATTCCTGTTTTTGGGTTTAGGGTTGTAGATCCTTACTATTCCTGTTTTAGGCGAGTTGGCATCCCGGCTTCAATAGTACATGATGCTTCACCTCATCACAATTGACGGGTTTCCGCGGCACTGTCCCGTCGCCCGTGGCATTGAATCCTGAACCCTCGATGTGGGCCGGCGGTCATGCTTGAAGAAGCCCAGTCACCGAAACACTGCGTTGCTGCTCCTAGGTCTTGTCCAAAAGCACCCCCAAAGCTTTGAACTGTGTGACTGGGCTTGTTTGGAAGACGTTGCTAACGACACCTGTCCGATGTGAGCAGCTAAGGGAACAAGTGCCTAAGGGTCCAAGGCCTCAATCTTCATATACTTCAACAAAACCTGTTCTGCCCAATTGTTGAAGACTTGAACCATCTGGGCACAGCAGGTCTCCCTTATGCCTTCTATTTGACACGCATTCGTGTCCCAAATGCAGCAAGACACAGGGGCTACAGGACGCACATGACGCGCAAGTGTCTGCCAGAAGTAATCGTAAAATGAGAAACCTAGAAGCAGAAAGGGGATTTTGGTAACCCCAACCCCAAGTTAGGACCCTATCTAACCATCATATGATAGTCATAGGGTTCTACTTTTGGGGGTTGGGATTACCAAAATCCTTTTATTAACAAGCATGAACGCCTCGACTCCCCTCTGCAGATGCAGATCTCTCATTTCATCATTTTCCTTTGCTGTCCGTTACCCCCAAACTCCTTCCTTCAAGGAGGGGCCCCCTAGTTACATAACTATACTTATAAGTCCTATAACTACAATTTATGGAGCTGATAACCATATTTAGCCCAACTTATAACCCAACTTATAACTAGGGGGCCCCTCTTTGTTGGTACTACTATTACTACTACGGTACATTCTTAAGCCCTGGCTGAGCCTTGCCTAGATCCTCAGATGGGCACTGATAGCCTATACACCCACCCGTTTTGGGGGGTTGATGCTAGTTGAGCCACGCGGTTTAGGGCTTAGGGTTTAGGGTTTAGGATTTAGGGGTTTAGGGTTTAGGATCTGTGGGAGGCCCACGTCAACCCTCAACCCTGAAACCCCGTGAACCATAAAATCTAAACCTAAACCGGTTGCCAGCCTAATCGACACCCATCATGAGGCGGCTGTCGCCCCAAAGGAAGATACCTGGAAGGCTTGTCCTCTATAGCCTAAGGGTCCAAATACCCCAAATAAGGCTTCATGGACTGGGGTTTAAGGACTCGGGTTAGGGGTTCAAGCACACAATCATTGAGTACTTCGGATGTGGGAAGTGATTTGTCGAGCAACCGATGGCCCACAAACTGAGGTTCAAATGCACGCTGACTGCCCGAAGCCCTGAAGCCCGCGAAGCGAACACTGCACACTCCTCCCATAGATAACAAGGGTATTTTGGTAACTCCAACCCCCAAAATTAGGACCGTATAACCATCATATGATAGTCATAGGGTCCTAATTTTGGGGGTTGGGGTTACCAAAATACCCTTATTAATAGAAGCTGGAATCCCCTAAACCCTAAACCCTGGGCGGTCCATTCCCAGAAGTTCAAACCATCCTAAAGTCCATTAATAATCCCCTTCCATTTAAGGGCCCAAATATTAGGATCCCTTTATACTCCCGATATTAAGGGAAGGGGGTCTATTTCCCAAAAGCCCTAAACCCTAAACCCAATTAATCATGGGTCTACAATCGCCGTCCTCGCCGGAACTCCTTTGCTCGCTTTCCGACCACGGCCCCTGGCAGTGAGGTTTTAGGGTTTAGGGTTGGGGATTCGGGTCTTTGGTTTAGGGTTTTAAGGTTTTGGGCTTTCAGGGTTTGGGGCTTAGGTTTTTAGGGTTTAGGGTTTGTTTAGGGTTTAGGGTTCAGGGTATAGGATTCATGGTTTAGGGAGTTCAGGCCTTCCCTAGTTAAGGGTCCTGTATACAATCACTATACACTTTGGGATTCTTTTCCCCGTACGGATTGTCTGGTTTTTGGGAGTATATTTGAATTATGTACCTTGGACCTTTGAGCCCTGAACCCTGAACCCAAAACCCTGAACCCTTAAACCCATAAACCCATAAAACCCTAAACCCATAAACCCTAAACCCCCAAAACTCTAAACCCCTAAACATTAAACCCCTGAGACATCCTAGATTTCTAAATTTCAAGGCCGGGGAGCTTGGCTCCTCAATTATGATTCTCACTACTATTTGCTTAAGAACACTGAAAATGAAAATAAGAATCCCTATATTACCCCCATAAAGAAGAATACTCTTATGAACAATTAATCCCTATGTTAGCCATATAAGGAAGAATATTGTTTTTTTTGGGGTGGTTCTTAAGCAAATAGTAGCTAATGTGGGCGCAGGGCAGTAGTCAGTAGTTTTGAAGTACAAAAATTTCCCAAAGACGTGACCGTCATTCCAAAGCCAAAGCGGCCAAGAACTGTATGCGAGATTTCTCTAAACTGTGGAGGGTTCTGTTCTTGGTTGGCCTTTCAAGGCTCTTGAAAATATTAGTATAGATGGGTCCCTATACAACCAATAAGGCAAACTATTTAAGGAACCCAAAGGCCTACCCATTGTTCAGCTCAGCACACTAAACTTTGCAACTAAGAGTGTCAACCCGGTTTTCTTGTAAATTTCCTGCGTCAAACCCCAGAACCCTAAACTCTAGCTCTTTCACTGTTGCCAATCATAACCACGAACATTTTAGTGACAGAGTCCATGTTAGGGTGACGCGTGGAGACAAGCGCCATGGAGAAATCATTTGTATGGTTTAGGATGTGGGTTGGGTACTGCCCCCGCCCTGTAGAAGTTGGATACTATTCATAATGCAGTTCACCTTAATATGACACCCAATATAGATTGTAACAGTGGGGGCAATACCCTAAACCCTAAACATGGTGCCCAATGTTTAGCTGCTAAAGCTGGCAAGGTTTAAGGATTCAGGGTTTCTGTAGTCTCCTACTTACACGAATATAATACTACTATTTTTGATAGTTCCTTAAAAGTATATTATACGAAAAAGTGAAAAATGATTCCTAAGGGGACTACAGGTTTAGGGTACGGCCTGACAGTTGTTCTGCATCGTTTCTGGCTACATGAAATTTCGCCCATCGCGTGAGCACCAGCTCCACTGCCCCCAAGGGCCCAAGGACCCAAATAAAAGGGCCCAAATGCTACAATATATATATATATATACGCATAAATGGTATTTGGGCCCTAAAACCCTATTATTTAGCTCCTTGGACCCTTAGGGTATGTGAACCTCCACCCATCGCGTGAGCACCAGCTCAACTCCTCTGCTGGCGTATAGTCCCCCTAGCGTAGATAGAATATGGCTTTGGGCACATGTTAATAAATTAGTTATACAGAACGTGACGCCGTGGAGG